TTCCATAGCAACCGTTTCCATAGCAACCGTTTCTATGATAACCGTTACCATAGCAACCGATTCAATAGAAATTTTTCCATAGCAACTGTTTCCATAGCAACCGTTTCCATAGCAACCGTTTCTATGATAACCGTTACCATAGCAACCGATTCAATAGAAATTTTTCCATAGCAACTGTTTCCATAGCAACCGTTTCCATAGCAACCGTTTCTATAATAACCGTTACCATAGCAACCGATTCAATAGAAATTTTTCCATAGCAACTGTTTCCATAGCAACCGTTTCTATGATAACCGTTACCATAGCAACCGATTCAATAGAAATTTTTCCATAGCAACTGTTTCCATAGCAACCGATTCTATGATAACCGTTACCATAGCAACCGATTCAATAGAAATTTTTCCATAGCAACTGTTTCCATAGCAACCGTAACCATAGCAACCGTTACTATGATAACCGTTACCATAGCAACCGTTTCCATGACAACTGTTACTATAGCAACCGTTGCTAAGGTGCCATGCGCCTGCTTCGCTCATATTTTTAATTTTCTTATTAATTATTAATTGATTAATTAATAGAATTATTTTTTTTTAAATTTAATTGCGTTTTGTAAGAGGTACTAAAGAAAAAAAGGTTTTTATTATTTTTTTTTTTTTTGACAATTTGTACCACCTTTGATGTAGGAGAATTTGTGAATTAAGAATTAGTTTGTATAACCAAATTTATTAGGCTTGTTCGATACGCTCGATTCACTTTCGTGTCTCGATTTCCATGACAAAGTCACTCGACCCTCTCTTGTCATTGCGTTGTGGACAAGCAAGTTTTACAAAGGTGCACATTCACTCATGACGCATAATAAACTATTTGGCGCCCCAACATTCTTTTTGTATATTATTATTATTATTATTATTATTATTATTATTATTATTATTATTATAAACCACACGGGGAGAAAAATATTTTATATACCCTATTGAGAGAAAAATCCACCCACAATCTCTACAAATAATTATGCTAAATATACAAAGACACTAAAAAATAATATTTAACTGACCTTGCATTACGTTTCTTTTTTAAAATTCAATTACCATATCAAAAGAACTGACTTTATGGTTTAATATTATTAAAAATTTATTAGCATTCTTGGCATACCTCACGAGTGAATTGACTCTTTTCCAACTCAGTAGCTTAATAGTCTCTCTCTATTTTTATTTATAATATACTCATTATATTTTCTAATATAAAAATTCTTTTCATTTTCAATTATAGTAGAAAAAAAACTTATCAAAGAAAAAAAAAATTTATTTGATTCAAATAATTGATTACTTGATTAAAATAAATATTTATTTGAACAAAATAATTTTTATTTACATTAAATAATTATTTGGTTCAAGTAAATTTTTATTTTAATCAAGTAATTTGAATCAAATAATTTTGTATTAGAATGAAATGAAATAAAATTGCAAAATTGAATAAAAAAATAAATTATTTTAATTATTTTTATTAATAATTGAATAATTTTTTTTTCTTTCTTTACGGATTATTTGGGAAAAAATTGAAATGAATTTCTTTTTTTTTTTTTTTTTAATAAATTGTTTATACCAAAGATGGGAATGAATGTTGGAGAAATTTTCCAAGATTGACGACTCGTCCTTCTTTCCAGTTTCTTATTCTTAACGAGAAAAATTCCTCACTCACATCGATTACTATATAGTCTACCCTTGAAAAATGGCACGGCAAGCCGGCTCTAATCCTCGGCAAGATTGACGAGCCGATAATCCGCAGTAGCTCCCGATTATGGCTCCTTGGCAGGTTTTTTTTCACAATTTTTTTTTTTTTTCATTCTTTTCTTACTGGTTGTTAAGGCGCTTACGCTTACACGGTAGCTTATAAAAGAGGATCCGCGGTACTCTGGGCACGATAGGCCGACACTTGCCGACCTTGAAACTCCTGCCACGCGTAACCTTCGCTGTGTGGCGTTAAGCCGTGACGTCACTGGTTCCACGGCTTAAATCAATTTTTTTTTCCCTATAATATTCTCTGTCTCTTCAATTTCTGTCGATCATTTGATCGTATGGCAAATTAAAGTGTCTTTCGTATATATATATATATATGTAATTTCAGAGAAATTTACATTTACTTTAATTATCAAATTGTCCTTGTATCAGGTTTTTTTTATGTCTAGGAATTATTTTCTAGGCGCAGTTAAATATATACAGAGAAAAATTTTATTTGAATCAAAATTTTTTTTTGGATTTATACAATTGACAACAAAATTTGACTCTGTGAAAAATTTGTTTGCGTCACACAGAAAAAAATCTTCACCTGGAACAACGAAAAGTTTCACTGGAATAGCGATATGTTTCATTAAAACAGGGAAAGTTTTTGCTATTCTAGAGAAACATATCGCTGTTTCAGAAAAAGATTCTTTTCCGTGCAAATAAATATTTATTTGATTAAAATTTTTTTTTATTTGAACCAAATAAAATTTATATAAAGCAAATAAAATTTATTTAATGCCAATAAAAATTTATTTAAAGCAAAATAAAATTTATTTATATCAAATATAAAATTTGTTTAAAGCAAAAATAAAATTGATTTGAAACAAATATTTATTTCGCCTTGAGACATATATATACTTTTTTTTTTGAAATTAAAAAAAAATTTGTTTAATCCGCATAAAACGTAGAAATTGTTTGTGAAATAGGAAATTCAAGGATGATATTTCAGGACAAAATTTGATGAGAATATCTGAGGAATTTAAAAGTCGTATTATAAGAAAATAACGTATGTTCACATACGCTTGACTATAGAGGAATACTTGGTGGACCAAGTTGGCGCCCTTGGCAGCGTGCCTTGTCCTGATCTTCACTCCTCCCCCCTCCTCTTCTCTTTCTCTTCATACCTGCTACTCACTCTTTTCTTCCCCCTGTGTGTAGCAAGAGTTCTTTCGCGCAGCATCTCTCTTTTTCCCTCTCCTTTTTTGAAATAGTCCTGATAAAAACCTAAATCTGTATATAACATTCTTATAACTGACCTCGAAGAAAATTTTTTATTTTCTTTTATATCATCATTTCTCTCTCTCTCTCTCTCTTGGCAAAAAAATTTAAATTTAAAATCTCGCGCGAAAATTAATTTCAAATATTTATTTTACCAATTATTTTTTTAAAGAAAAAAAATATGAAATCATTTTGAGAGACATGAGAGAAATATATCTGATTTACTGTATAAAAGATATGTATCCAATTTAAAGAGATCTAACATCAAGATATATAATTTCTCTTTTTTTTTTTTTTTTTGGTTTAATTCTTCTTTTTTTCAATATATATATGTGTATACATGTTTGAAGCATCAGGAATCAAGTTGTCCACAATGTGCGAAGTTAAATCTTGACTAGGGAAAGCAGATGTGTTATTTATAAAGTGGATATCTAGAAGAAAAAAAAAAAATGTAGAGAGATATTGGATCATGTATATATCTATCGTTATGTTGTAACCGCAGAAACTCTCGCGAGAACAAGTAATTTCTATCACCTGTGATGTGTTATAAACCGCGAATGAAATCAAGATCAGAATTTTATTTTTCATTTTCTTTTCTTTTTATTTTTAGGTCGGTGAAGTTCACATCGATTATGATCATCGAAAATCTTAAATCCAAGTTACTCCATAAACACAACAAAAACTTACATAAAACTTCAAAAAAAGATTATACTTAACAAAAAAATTCAGTTCAACCCCAATTTCATTAAAAAAAACACCCCTAGTATAACCCCCTATAATGACACATTGAAAAAAAATTCCCAAAAAATTCAATTTTTCTTAGGCTCAAAATTTTTTTTCATATTCTCGCACTAAACACACCTACAAGTGTTGAAAAAAATTGACACCCCAAAAAAAGTGGGGGAAAGTCCCCAAAACCTACCCTAAAGACCCCATCTTTAATAAAAAAATTCCCAAAAAATTCAATTTTTCTTAGGCTCAAAATTTTTTTTCATATTCTCGCACTAAACACACCTACAAGTGTTGAAAAAAATTGACACCCCAAAAAAAGTGGGGGAAAGTCCCCAAAACCTACCCTAAAGACCCCATCTTTAATAAAAAAATTACCAAAAAATTCAATTTTTCTTAGGCTCAAAATTTTATTTCAAATTCTAGCACAAAACACACCTACAAGTGTTGAAAAAAATTTACACCCCAAAAAAAGTGGGGGAAAACCCCCAAAACCTACCCTAAAGTCCCCATCTTTGATAAAAAAATTATCAAAAAATTCAATTTTTCTTAGGCTCACAATTTTATTTCAAATTCCAGCACAAAACACACCTACAAGTGTTGAAAAAAATTGACACCCCAAAAAAAGTGGGGGAAAGCCCTCAAAACCTACCCTAAAGTCCGCATCTTTGAAAAAAAAATTCCCAAAAAATTCAATTTTTCTTAGGCTCACAATTTTATTTCAAATTCTGGCACAAAACACACCTACAAGTGTTGAAAAAAATTGACACCCCAAAAAAAGTGGGGGAAAGTCCCCAAAACCTACCCTAAAGACCCCATATTTAATAAAAAAATTCCCAAAAAATTCAATTTTTCTTAGGCTCAAAATTTTTTTTCATATTCTCGCACTAAACACACCTACAAGTGTTGAAAAAAATTGACACCCCAAAAAAAGTGGGGGAAAGTCCCCAAAACCTACCCTAAAGACCCCATCTTTAATAAAAAAATTCCCAAAAAATTCAATTTTTCTTAGGCTCAAAATTTTTTTTCATATTCTCGCACTAAACACACCTACAAGTGTTGAAAAAAATTGACACCCCAAAAAAAGTGGGGGAAAGTCCCCAAAACCTACCCTAAAGACCCCATCTTAAATAAAAAATTTCCAAAAAATTAAATTTTTCTTAGGCTCAAAATTTTTTTTCATATTCTCGCACTAAACACACCTACAAGTGTTGAAAAAAATTGACACCCCAAAAAAAGTGGGGGAAAGTCCCCAAAACCTACCCTAAAGACCCCATATTTAATAAAAAAATTCCCAAAAAATTCAATTTTTCTTAGGCTCAAAATTTTTTTTCATATTCTCGCACTAAACACACCTACAAGTGTTGAAAAAAATTGACACCCCAAAAAAAGTGGGGGAAAGTCCCCAAAACCTACCCTAAAGACCCCATCTTTAATAAAAAAATTCCCAAAAAATTCAATTTTTCTTAGGCTCAAAATTTTTTTTCATATTCTCGCACTAAACACACCTACAAGTGTTGAAAAAAATTGACACCCCAAAAAAAGTGGGGGAAAGTCCCCAAAACCTACCCTAAAGACCCCATCTTTAATAAAAAAATTCCCAAAAAATTCAATTTTTCTTAGGCTCAAAATTTTTTTTCATATTCTCGCACTAAACACACCTACAAGTGTTGAAAAAAATTGACACCCCAAAAAAAGTGGGGGAAAGTCCCCAAAACCTACCCTAAAGACCCCATCTTAAATAAAAAATTTCCAAAAAATTCAATTTTTCTTAGGCTCAAAATTTTTTTTCATATTCTCGCACTAAACACACCTACAAGTGTTGAAAAAAATTGACACCCCAAAAAAAGTGGGGGAAAGTCCCCAAAACCTACCCTAAAGACCCCATATTTAATAAAAAAAATTCCCAAAAAATTCAATTTTTCTTAGGCTCAAAATTTTTTTTCATATTCTCGCACTAAACACACCTACAAGTGTTGAAAAAAATTGACACCCCAAAAAAAGTGGGGGAAAGTCCCCAAAACCTACCCTAAAGACCCCATCTTTAATAAAAAAATTCCCAAAAAATTCAATTTTTCTTAGGCTCAAAATTTTTTTTCATATTCTCGCACTAAACACACCTACAAGTGTTGAAAAAAATTGACACCCCAAAAAAAGTGGGGGAAAGTCCCCAAAACCTACCCTAAAGACCCCATCTTTAATAAAAAAATTCCCAAAAAATTCAATTTTTCTTAGGCTCAAAATTTTTTTTCATATTCTCGCACTAAACACACCTACAAGTGTTGAAAAAAATTGACACCCCAAAAAAAGTGGGGGAAAGTCCCCAAAACCTACCCTAAAGACCCCATCTTTAATAAAAAAATTACCAAAAAATTCAATTTTTCTTAGGCTCAAAATTTTATTTTAAATTCTAGCACAAAACACACCTACAAGTGTTGAAAAAAATTTACACCCCAAAAAAAGTGGGGGAAAACCCCCAAAACCTACCCTAAAGTCCCCATCTTTGATAAAAAAATTATCAAAAAATTCAATTTTTCTTAGGCTCACAATTTTATTTCAAATTCCAGCACAAAACACACCTACAAGTGTTGAAAAAAATTGACACCCCAAAAAAAGTGGGGGAAAGCCCTCAAAACCTACCCTAAAGTCCGCATCTTTGAAAAAAAAATTCCCAAAAAATTCAATTTTTCTTAGGCTCACAATTTTATTTCAAATTCTGGCACAAAACACACCTACAAGTGTTGAAAAAAATTGACACCCCAAAAAAAGTGGGGGAAAGTCCCCAAAACCTACCCTAAAGACCCCATATTTAATAAAAAAATTCCCAAAAAATTCAATTTTTCTTAGGCTCAAAATTTTTTTTCATATTCTCGCACTAAACACACCTACAAGTGTTGAAAAAAATTGACACCCCAAAAAAAGTGGGGGAAAGTCCCCAAAACCTACCCTAAAGACCCCATCTTTAATAAAAAAATTCCCAAAAAATTCAATTTTTCTTAGGCTCAAAATTTTTTTTCATATTCTCGCACTAAACACACCTACAAGTGTTGAAAAAAATTGACACCCCAAAAAAAGTGGGGGAAAGTCCCCAAAACCTACCCTAAAGACCCCATCTTTAATAAAAAAATTACCAAAAAATTCAATTTTTCTTAGGCTCAAAATTTTATTTTAAATTCTAGCACAAAACACACCTACAAGTGTTGAAAAAAATTTACACCCCAAAAAAAGTGGGGGAAAACCCCCAAAACCTACCCTAAAGTCCCCATCTTTGATAAAAAAATTATCAAAAAATTCAATTTTTCTTAGGCTCACAATTTTATTTCAAATTCCAGCACAAAACACACCTACAAGTGTTGAAAAAAATTGACACCCCAAAAAAAGTGGGGGAAAGCCCTCAAAACCTACCCTAAAGTCCGCATCTTTGAAAAAAAAATTCCCAAAAAATTCAATTTTTCTTAGGCTCACAATTTTATTTCAAATTCTGGCACAAAACACACCTACAAGTGTTGAAAAAAATTGACACCCCAAAAAAAGTGGGGGAAAGTCCCCAAAACCTACCCTAAAGACCCCATATTTAATAAAAAAATTCCCAAAAAATTCAATTTTTCTTAGGCTCAAAATTTTTTTTCATATTCTCGCACTAAACACACCTACAAGTGTTGAAAAAAATTGACACCCCAAAAAAAGTGGGGAAAGTCCCCAAAACCTACCCTAAAGACCCCATCTTTAATAAAAAAATTCCCAAAAAATTCAATTTTTCTTAGGCTCAAAATTTTTTTTCATATTCTCGCACTAAACACACCTACAAGTGTTGAAAAAAATTGACACCCCAAAAAAAGTGGGGGAAAGTCCCCAAAACCTACCCTAAAGACCCCATATTTAATAAAAAAATTCAATTTTTCTTAGGCTCAAAATTTTTTTTCATATTCTCGCACAAAACACACCTACAAGTGTTGAAAAAAATTGACACCCCAAAAAAAGTGGGGGAAAGTCCCCAAAACCTACCCTAAAGACCCCATCTTTAATAAAAAAATTCCCAAAAAATTCAATTTTTCTTAGGCTCAAAATTTTTTTTCATATTCTCGCACTAAACACACCTACAAGTGTTGAAAAAAATTGACACCCCAAAAAAAGTGGGGGAAAGTCCCCAAAACCTACCCTAAAGACCCCATCTTTAATAAAAAAATTCCAAAAAAATTCAATTTTTCTTATGCTCAAAATTTTATATTTTATGTAGTTTTTTATAATTTTGCATATTTTATCCAATAAACAAAAAAAACCATTTAGTATTTTTTTCTGGTTTTTTGCTATAAAAATCAAATTTTTGGGGTATTATTATTATAATAAACGTAATCAGCTCATCAAAATACATAAAAGTATGAAGTATTAAAAATCAAAAATATTTTAAAAAATTCAAAATTGAAACATTTTTTAAAAATTTCAAAAATATTGTAAAAATTGTTTGTCCACGATCGGGCGAGGCTTAAAATTTTGGCAAAAAGTATTTTTTTGAAAAAATTTTTAAATTTTTTTGTTTGTTTGTTGTTTTTTGATTTTACATTCTGACAATAATTGATGATTGCCAAAATAGTTTGCATATTCAAGCAGTCGGGAAAGTTTGTCGAAGCTGAAAATTTAAAATTCAACAAAAAAGTCACAAAAATTTTATTTGTTTGTGAATATGATGTTTTTTATAAATGTTTATTTACTAATTGAATCTAAAAACATCATTTTGTCTATGTGGAAATTTGTAGCCGCGTAGAGAATAAATGTTAAAATCTTTCAAAAAACAGGCGTGATTAGCCATGAATTTGACTATTGTGTGGAGCAAGGTGTGGAGGCAAGAATAGTGAGGATAGAGACGAACGTGGATATTCGGCTGCGTTCGTCTTTGGTCGGCTCTTTGCTTTACGTTATCCCCACCGCTCCGCTCACTCCACAGACCCCGGCGAAAGTCTATAACTGCTTGGAAATCTGATTTTGCCTTTTTCGTCGTATTTTTTCTCTCTCCACTCGGACCCAATTTAAACGCGCTTGGGTGAAAAAGTGAAGATTCAACGAAGCTGAATTACGCAACGTTTATATAGGATAAACGATTTTTAAAGAAATAATTTTTTAATTGAAAAATTCTAAAAAAATTTTTTTTATAATATGTTGATTAATAAAAACTACAAAGAAATTTTTAAAGTAAAAATTTCAAGATTTTTTCATTTTAAAAAATTATTTCTTTAAAAAACGTTTATCATAAATATTGCGATCTTCAGTTTATTAAGATTATTATTATTACTATTAAAATATATTAAAATAATCTAGAAATTTTTACTTTAAAAATTTTTTTTTAGTTTTTATTAATCAACATATTATAAAAAAATTTTTTTTAGAATATTTCAATTGAAAAATTATTTCTTTAAAAATCGTTTATTTTATTTAAACGTTGCGTAATTCAGCTTCGTTGAATCTTCACTTTTTCACCCAACCGCGTTTAAATTGGGTCCGAGTGGAGAGAGAAAAAATACGACGAAAAAGGCAAAATCAGATTTCCAAGCAGTCATAGACTTTCGCCGGGGTCTGTGGAGTGAGCGGCGCGGTGGGGATAACGTAAAGCAAAGAGCCGACCAAAGACGAACGCAACCGAATATCCACGATCGGCTCTATCCTCACTATTCATGCCTTCACACTATAGTCAAATTCAAGGCTAATCACGCCTGTTGTTTGAAAAGATTTTAACATTTATTCTCTACGCGGCTACAAATTTCCACATAGAAAATGATGTTTTTAGTTTCAATTAGTAAATAAACATTTTAAAAAAACATCATATTCACAAACAAATAAAATTTTTGTGATTTTTTGCTAAATTTTAAACTTTCAACTTCGACAAACTTCCCCGACTGCTTGCATATACAAACTATTTTGGCAATTGTCAATTATTGCCAGAATGTAAAATCAACAAACAAAAAATTTAGTCTCGCTTTTTCTTTGCGAGAAATAAATTTTTTAATAGAAATTTTTCACGTTTTTCAACTTTTGACAAAAGCTGAACTACGCAACGTTTATGATAAACCATTTTTAAAAATGTAAAATTCTATAATTTTTTGCTTGACAAATATTTTTTATAATTTGTTGATTAATGAAAACTACAAGAAATATTTTTCAGACAAAAATTTAAAGAATTTTTTATTTTAAAAAATTATTTCGTTTGTCATAAACGTTGCGTACTTCAGCTACGTAAAATTTGGGTGTGAACAAGACAAATTTCCCACATGGCTTGGATGTCTACATTTTATTAAAGTTATCTACACTCAGAAAAAAAATATATTTGAACCAAATGTACCATTTTTTTAAATTTACCTAATTTTTTGGTTAGTTCAAACAAAATTTGTCCAATTCAAATAAATATTTATTTGATCTAAATAACTGTTTAGTTTATTTTAATAAATTTTTTGAACAAAGAAAAAATTTAATTGAACTAAATAAACGTTTGGTTTATGGAATCACATGTTTGGTTAACTGTATATCAATGCATTTATTTTGTTGATTTCACCAAAATTTGGTTGCTTCAAACGAATTTTTTTCTGAGTGTACTATAAATAGGAAGTCAAAACAAGAATAAAATTTTTGGTCTCTCATTTAGTTTTCGAGAAATAAATTTTCTATTTGAAATTTTTTAATTTTTTGGAGTCTTTCCACAACTTGTTAGGGGGTGTCAATTTTTTTTAACACTTTTAGGTGTGTTTAGTGCAAGAATTTGAAATAAAATTGAGAGCCTAAGAAAAATTGAATTTTTTTTTATCAAAGATGGGGACTTTAGGGTAGGTTTTGGGGGCTTTCCCCCACTTTTTTTGGGGTGCCAATTTTTTTCAACACTTGTAGGTGTGTTTTGTGCCAGAATTTGAAATAAAATTGTGAGCCTAAGAAAAATTGAATTTTTTGGGAATTTTTTTTTCAAAGATGCGGACTTTAGGGTAGGTTTTGAGGGCTTTCCCCCACTTTTTTTGGGGTGTCAATTTTTTTCAACACTTGTAGGTGTGTTTTGTGCGAGAATATGAAAAAAAATTTTGAGCCTAAGAAAAATTGAATTTTTTGGGAATTTTTTTATTAAATATGGGGTCTTTAGGGTAGGTTTTGGGGACTTTCCCCCACTTTTTTTGGGGTGTCAATTTTTTTCAACACTTGTAGGTGTGTTTTGTGCTGGAATTTGAAATAAAATTGTGAGCCTAAGAAAAATTGAATTTTTTGATAATTTTTTTATCAAAGATGGGGACTTTAGGGTAGGTTTTGGGGGTTTTCCCCCACTTTTTTTGGGGTGTAAATTTTTTTCAACACTTGTAGGTGTGTTTTGTGCTAGAATTTGAAATAAAATTTTGAGCCTAAGAAAAATTGAATTTTTTGGTAATTTTTTTATTAAAGATGGGGTCTTTAGGGTAGGTTTTGGGGACTTTCCCCCACTTTTTTTGGGGTGTCAATTTTTTTCAACACTTGTAGGTGTGTTTAGTGCGAGAATATGAAAAAAAATTTTGAGCCTAAGAAAAATTGAATTTTTTGGGAATTTTTTTATTAAAGATGGGGTCTTTAGGGTAGGTTTTGGGGACTTTCCCCCACTTTTTTTGGGGTGTCAATTTTTTTCAACACTTGTAGGTGTGTTTAGTGCGAGAATATGAAAAAAAATTTTGAGCCTAAGAAAAATTGAATTTTTTGGGAATTTTTTTATTAAATATGGGGTCTTTAGGGTAGGTTTTGGGGACTTTCCCCCACTTTTTTTGGGGTGTAAATTTTTTTCAACACTTGTAGGTGTGTTTTGTGCTAGAATTTAAAATAAAATTTTGAGCCTAAGAAAAATTGAATTTTTTGGTAATTTTTTTATTAAAGATGGGGTCTTTAGGGTAGGTTTTGGGGACTTTCCCCCACTTTTTTTGGGGTGTCAATTTTTTTCAACACTTGTAGGTGTGTTTAGTGCGAGAATATGAAAAAAAATTTTGAGCCTAAGAAAAATTGAATTTTTTGGGAATTTTTTTATTAAATATGGGGTCTTTAGGGTAGGTTTTGGGGACTTTCCCCCACTTTTTTTGGGGTGTCAATTTTTTTCAACACTTGTAGGTGTGTTTTGTGCCAGAATTTGAAATAAAATTGTGAGCCTAAGAAAAATTGAATTTTTTGGGAATTTTTTTTTCAAAGATGCGGACTTTAGGGTAGGTTTTGAGGGCTTTCCCCCACTTTTTTTGGGGTGTCAATTTTTTTCAACACTTGTAGGTGTGTTTTGTGCTGGAATTTGAAATAAAATTGTGAGCCTAAGAAAAATTGAATTTTTTGATAATTTTTTTATCAAAGATGGGGACTTTAGGGTAGGTTTTGGGGGTTTTCCCCCACTTTTTTTGGGGTGTAAATTTTTTTCAACACTTGTAGGTGTGTTTTGTGCTAGAATTTGAAATAAAATTTTGAGCCTAAGAAAAATTGAATTTTTTGGTAATTTTTTTATTAAAGATGGGGTCTTTAGGGTAGGTTTTGGGGACTTTCCCCCACTTTTTTTGGGGTGTCAATTTTTTTCAACACTTGTAGGTGTGTTTAGTGCGAGAATATGAAAAAAAATTTTGAGCCTAAGAAAAATTGAATTTTTTGGGAATTTTTTTATTAAAGATGGGGTCTTTAGGGTAGGTTTTGGGGACTTTCCCCCACTTTTTTTGGGGTGTCAATTTTTTTCAACACTTGTAGGTGTGTTTAGTGCGAGAATATGAAAAAAAATTTTGAGCCTAAGAAAAATTGAATTTTTTGGGAATTTTTTTATTAAAGATGGGGTCTTTAGGGTAGGTTTTGGGGACTTTCCCCCACTTTTTTTGGGGTGTCAATTTTTTTCAACACTTGTAGGTGTGTTTAGTGCGAGAATATGAAAAAAAATTTTGAGCCTAAGAAAAATTGAATTTTTTGGGAATTTTTTTATTAAAGATGGGGTCTTTAGGGTAGGTTTTGGGGACTTTCCCCCACTTTTTTTGGGGTGTCAATTTTTTTCAACACTTGTAGGTGTGTTTAGTGCGAGAATATGAAAAAAAATTTTGAGCCTAAGAAAAATTGAATTTTTTGGGAATTTTTTTATTAAAGATGGGGTCTTTAGGGTAGGTTTTGGGGACTTTCCCCCACTTTTTTTGGGGTGTCAATTTTTTTCAACACTTGTAGGTGTGTTTAGTG